TGGAATAATGTAGAAGACAGTGACATCTCAAATGAGTGTGTGATAATGCAGGCTCCTCAAGGACACATCTGATTGCATGTGTTTCTCATGCAAAAATCCAATATGGTGCTAGCACTTTTAATATGATGTGGTCTGATTGCATGTAGCCATAATATATTCTTATGAAGGCGCAACAAGTCAACATGGATGCCACGGGTGCATAAATCCAATATGGTGCAAGCACTTTTAATATGATGTGGTTGTGTTACTGCCATGGAAGGCGCAACATGGAGAGTCAACATGGATGCCACGGCATCTCATGCATAAATCCAATATGGTGCTAGCACTTTTAATATGATGTGGTTGTGTTACTGTGGAGGCAAGGGTAGCCATAATATATTCTTATGAAGGCGCAACATGGAGAGTCAACATGGATGCCACGGCAGCACTTTAAGGTCTTGTCTTGTAGTCTTAGCAAGATAAGGCTCCAGAAGATCTTAGACTAAAACACTGAGGCAAGGATAGGGACAATTCCACCTGTGAGAACACACATATGCCGAAAGTTACCAATCCTTAGCTCGATTTCCTATTGCAGATTGAAATGACTTCAAATTAAAATGGACTGACTGACTGAGTTTGTTTTACATCGCTTTTAGCAATATTCCAGCAACATCACGGCGGGGGACACCAGAAATGGGCTTCGCACATTGTACCCACGTGGAGATTCGAACCCGGGTCTCCGGCATGGCGAGCCAACGCTTTAACCACTAGGCTACCCCACCGCCCCCAAATTGAAATGGAACTTGTAATGGAAAGTATGTACAGGGAACAGTTATCTGAAGGATTTTGTCCATGCGTACCAGCAATTTCATTGCCATTTCAGTATGGAATCTTTGGTTCCCTACCTTTTGAAGTAACCACTTTTTCGAAATGGAAAATTTGTTCATTTGTTCTCAGAACAGCCCTATCAATTATTAGTTCAAGTCAAGACTCCAACGTCTGTCTGACAACTCAGATACTTCTGCAATATACACTTAGTATGCGTTGTCAAAGCCTCTCCTGCTTTGATCAATGGCTGGAATCACTGGAATATTGTTTGACGTAAATGGAAAAAGGATGGAACTGCTGAATACCTTGCTTGATAACATCTACATCGAAACGCATAAAGAAATGGTGCCTCTGCTAGAATACTGCTTGACACAAAGGGACAAGTGATGTTAGACAGTTGAGGTCATTCTGAGTTGTTGTTCTTCTTTATAAAAGAGCTTAAAACAAACCTACACCATTGTGGAAGTTGTTTGAATTTGTATTTGTATTTGTATTTTCATAAACAATATTACTGTTGCCCTGACAAAAATGCCTCAAACTGAATCTTTATGCATAGATCTAAACATGAACCGGGTGTGGCAGTTTCATTTAAACGTTTTGCACAAGGAGACATCCCGATTCAGATACACCAATATGCTGGTCAGCATGAAGGGAAGCACAATTGATACCCAAGAAGATGCCTTCTTCGTATCTTAATGTTGTAACACCAAATTACACATATATGTTACCAGCGAGGACGTCCAGCGTTTTAGGGTCAGGCATGATCTGTAGCTAGTCATTAAAAGGAATTTCTACTTCTCCCGCGTCCATGTTTCTTAACAACTATTTCAACTCCCCAAAACGTTTAGCTTAAAGTTCACTATTTCATCATGACTTTACTGCATGTGTTCTCTCGCTCAGAAATAATTTGATATTTTAATCCTGTTAATACGAATTCCTTCTTTTCGCCTGATGAAATGACGGAACCAAATAGTGAGATGTATTCCTAAACGGAGTGAAATGAATATTCAATACATGAAGCAAGTTCCCATTGCTCTCCGGAACAGAACTGGTAGGGTAACCCTTTCTGATTGCAAAAAACTGACTAAAATTAGCATCAGGGTTAATGTAGTGTTCTCTTAGTATTTAGTACTTAGTTTACTCCGACAACTTAGATTGTTGTTATTACCCATTATTGACCTTCCCCCCTCTAATACAAGACAAATCTTATGGATAACAACTTCTTGGTTTATATTTCACAACGTTTCTGGGCTAGTTCTTGCCCCTTCTTCAGGTGGATGAAGAAGGGGCAAAAACTTGCCCACCTGAAGAAGGCAAAAAAATATGTCTGTAACCAATGACTACGTAAATGTTTCTGTGTATGGTCGTCCTCGTCATTCATTCGTTTCACGTAGCGTCTGGCTTTGCCATAGAAAATGACAAATACATGCAGTCGCTGAATGTTACACCAGACACGCTGTCAGTATCGAAGAATGTAATCTTATAATGATATATATGTACAAGTCCCAGGGAGAGTTCTGTAGGGCACACTGCTGCAGATTAGCGGCTACCTGTTGGATCATATAGCTTCGTGTTGGGCTCACCCCAGTGGACATCACCTTGTAACAAGTGAGACACATTTTTAATGCTTCTGATAAATTATCTGTGTCATCATTTATAAATAAGGCAACTGGGTGGACCCAGTGTTGCCTCATATGTCTTATTCGTGTATAAATTACATCCTCACGATGACATTTGCAGACATCAATTAATGTATGTTTTAAATGTTGTTGGAGCTTTTAAATCTCTTCAGATGTGTCAATCTTAAATGCGATTTCTGTTTAGTGCATTGACGAAAATGTTTAACATGGGAGACAAAGAAATGCTCCGGATACTTCACATGCTTTAACAAACATGCAGTTAGAATGCCCCGCTAGTCTTTTTTGCAAAACTTTTGAAAACCATAATTTTCCGAATTGTTTTTCTTTATAAAAGGGCTTAAAACAAATTACACCATTGTGTAAGCTGTTTAAATTTGTATTTACGAATTCACGAATTTTCAAAAACAATATTTCTGTTGTCCCGAAATGACTCAGTTGCTTATAAACGGATGTGACGAGGAGTCGAAGTACAAGAAACATATATGACAAAAGGAAACGTCTCTAGATCGATAGTAGCACGGTGTATATGTAATTACCTTAAGAACTGCGCATTATCCAGCTTACAGAAATAACCCTAATTGGTTATGTCCTGTTGATGATTTTCGGAAAAACACCTTGAAACAGACTATGCCACTGTGTAGGAGGACCAAGTCACCTAGAATAAATCAGTCAAATCACCTTTCACCCGGTCCATAACGTCCCCCATCTGAATGATAAAAACACCTCCTTGGACAGTGTCCCTCTCTTTATACCTCCTGCATGATGTCAATGTAATACTGTAATTTTATATTAGATAATTTCTCTTTTTTTAAATTTATATTTATAAACGGTATCAATGTTGTTTACAGTGACTTTAAGGACTTGCATATTTCATGTTGTTTACTGTGTTGTATGACAGTGTGATTCATAGTAATACATTGTTTTATTTGGAAATGGAGCAAGACTTGAAACTCGGCATAGACCATTGTATGGAAACGTCTGGAAGCTTTTTAATATTTATAAGGTTGTAGACACGTGCCTCGGTCATTTCATTACATCACGACCAGCAGCTTGTGAAGAGCGTTATTTCACCTTGGATCAGTAGTGTTTTGCAACCATAAAGTATGGACATACATGAGGCCGATACCTGCATTCTAAGTGAGTGATTGAGTACATTAGATTTCAATATTGCAACCACATGGCCATGCTTCCTCATATTGTAGTAACACAGAAGTATTTGTTGAAGTACTTTTACCACACCGCCTTTAATTTTTGCTTAATTTATATATATTTATATAGCGCCAATATCCAGATCGCTCAAAGGCGCTTTGTTTTTCCCTCGACCATTGGATGTCAGTCTGAAACGGCACAATGTACTATCAATCTCAACTCCCTGCAGCCACTAGGCGCACCGAGTTAATGTGGCTTTCCCATCTTTACGAGGTACCCATTCACAGCTGGGTGGTCTGGGACACGACGTCGTACTCACAGTATTTTGTCCAAGTTTACTGCACGTTGCTGTACACGCAACTAGGTGTTTGCCCGTATTCATGTGGCCACCATCTGGTCATATACCAACAGGTTCGTGGGTTCTTTTAGGTGCACATGCTTGTGTACTGTACACTAGGGGTTGTGACAACACTGAGAGAGTCTGCACACAAAGTTGACTCCAAGGTTTTTTACACCCGGTCACAGGTGGCCTCGATCCCGTCACCTCAAGCTTGCTGGATCACTAGCCTGGCGCCTTAGCCAGCTCGCCCACCACGCCTTTCATATATGTAAATCATTGTGTATAAATGGTCTGTTAAATGGTCTGCATATAAATGATAATTATAATCACTATATATAACCAGATATTTATGGAGGTATTAATTTTCAGGTGCCTTATTTCTAAAAATGTATGATTAATTACTTAATTAAATTATATATGTGAATGTGGATCTGCCGGAAAATACATTAATACTTCAAACTTGACTTGAAAATAATCCCTCTTGGGGAAAGGTACATTTTAGAAAAATAAAACTTTGAAAAATAAGTAATTTAAAAAACGGTATGAGGAAACATATACTGAGGCCATGAATGCTGCACTTTCATCAAACAACTTTTTTGCAAGAATCGTGGTACAAAGTGCATGATTGATTGTACCTCAGAAGTCGTAAAATGTAAACACTCTAGGTTGGAACTTTTTTAAAATAATGCTCGGTATGAAGGGAAAGGTGACTAATGAAAAGTTTAAATCATTCCGTTTGTCTCCTAGTGTAGAGTTGTGTTAATTACACAGAACCTTATACATAGATAGTAAACACTGCATAAGTAAACTGTGGTTAAACCATGGCTTCGTCGTGGGAATTTATAGTAAGCTTTTGGTCGTGGTTGTAATCGGTGTAATCTGAGTAAATTCAAGAACTATAGCAAGGTAAGAATTCAGTGTACTCCATATACTTGCTATTATGAAGACTTAAAGGGAGTCTTGGCTCTGGCAAAATGGCTGCCATGGCAACTTTGAAATCCTACTCCGTAATCCTGTTCGGCATGTAAAGGATTTCAAGAAATATTCAAAAGAAACACTTTAGGTATCAGATTGACTATTTATATCAAGGAATAAACATATTAAACAATATTGCAGACGGACTCCAAACACAATGCAGATATAACATCACATGAAAACAGAAAAAAAATAAAAGAGTGCATATCCACAAAGTCACATGGTATCAGCGAAGTCTCTTCTCACCGTCATCGTTCGTTATAGACAATGCCGCTGGTGACGTCATAGAACACGTGACGGATTGCGCATTCTCCTCACCCTGGTCCTGCAGCTCTGAATCACTGCATTCCTTCAAACCATCCTCATCCATCTCGCTGTGCGTTTTAACGTGCTTTGCCAAATGATCACTACGCATGAATCGCTTATTGCAAACTGGGCACGCGAACCTTTTCTCGCCGGTATGTGTGCGCAAGTGACGCTGGAGTTCGTCAGATCGGGTGAAACGTTTGCCACAGAATAACCAGTTACACACGAACGGCCGTTCCCCAGTGTGCCAGCGAAGGTGGGCCTTGAGGTGCGACGACTTGTTGTAGATTTTACCACATCCGGGAATATGACAGTTGTGGAGGTTACGCTTCCGGATGTGTTCCCCCGCTGGGCCAAGCCGGTCGGCCTCTTGGCAGTTTGGACAGTCGCAATTAGAGCGTCCAGTATAACGGCGTTGAGAACGTGAGTTTGAGAGATTTGGGAGTGGGGAACGGCTGTAGAATGGTGTTACACTTGTAGCCCCCAACTCAGTCTGGCTGGACAGCATGGATTTGTAGGTGTACGTGTCTTGGAGGATTTGTTGGCTCGGGGATAGGAGGGAATTGGTTCCTGAACCCAAGGCATGGGTGAGTCCATAATCCGCTGTTGGGTAGTTAGAAGCCAGTTGGGTTCTCAAAGCCGCCCCAGCAGTTCCCGATACATCCTGGAGCCAGTTTCCGGCGTTTGCGTGCACATCCCACCACGCAGACGTGCCACCAACACTTCCGGTCACTTCTGCTGCTTTCAGTGTATGCGCAGTGGCCGGATGTGCCCCTGTAACATTAAATGGCCAAGAGTCGTATGGATGTCCAGCTAGGGTGTGCATTCTGGAATATACACTGCTCAGGGCTGTTTCCGGTGCCACCTTATGCGCAGAATCAGACTGCGCATACGCGGGGGATGAGTTAGTAGAGCTGAAAAGACTGTCTGTGTAAGCACTTGAACAGTTGTTTGATGGCGAACGGCTGTAGTTGAGATAGTTGGTTGATACTGCCGCTCCACTTGGAAGGACAGCGCCTTTCTGAGAAGCCAGGGTTATTGCTCCCGATGTGGCACCTCCTGCCTCAGTCTTCCGCCAGGGATGAAATCCTTTAGCAAGAGGGTTCTCTGCGAAAGGTGGTGGACTTTTGTTGTTGATTTTATTACACTGGGCAGCTAACATGGCGAGAGGTGTACCTCCCAGTGGATGTGATTCCTGGAACAAAAAGAAACACGTGTTCAATAAAAACAAATCCCACCAATGAAACGATGCGGTTGATCTCAGACTCGATTATTTACAGACCGCCGTCATATAGCTAGAATATAGCTGTGTGCGGCGTAAACAACAAACAAACAAAACAAAACAAAAACTACAAATAATGTTATGGTTGCAATCAGGTTTATGGTGAATTTTATATAGTGCTGTTCTAGTGTTTCACTTATTTTGAATGGCAATTCGTAAGGTGCGGATCATACAGGTAGATGCACTGGAAGTATAAGACTTGAACACTGCATAAAATGTCATCCGTCGTTACTGCCCCTACGTAAATGTAGAGGTCCGTCTCCTATTCTCGCGGGATATTGTATTATTGATGTTTACTTTTGTGGACAATCAGAATCAATGTACAAATCAGTGACGCAAACAGTGTTCGGAATTGTTTCCAAATTTTGCTAGTCAGTCGGGCTGGCCATGCCTGAAAGTTGCTAGCCCACAAAATATATCACTAGCCCGAAATTTGAATGTAGACACTAAGCAAAAGATTAAAAAATAAATGAGAATAAGATATTGTCGGCATGACACGGGTTTCACCATAAAGCTGCAAATATGATTTTTATCAGGCCATAATCTTGCATGATTTAAACGTGTACTATAACTTAACACGTCGACGAGAGTGATATATTTACAAAATGACCCCATAAAAATTCACTAGCTACCCAGGCCAGTGACTTACAGTGATTTACTGTCCCGACTGGATTTTTACTAGCCACAGGCTAGCGGGCCAGTGGCTATTTCGAACACTGCATGCAAACCACTAGAGCAAATTCCTTTAAGACCTAAATAGATAATATCTATTTGAGTGAAATATCATCTAGTTTAGTTTTCCAATCATTAACAGAATTTCCTATCCGAGCTTCTACTATACATGCGCAGACATGGTGATATAGATGGCACTACTTGCTACACGTTCAGCTAAACTTAATAGCTACATCTTCATCTCATGATCAAACACATCACTTCAAAACAGCACAATAAAATTTGATCCGTGGTATTTGTTGTGAATAAATGTCAGTCCTCTCCGAGTGATTATCAAGCTCAGATTCTACGACTACGAGGCACAATAATACTAAAATATTCGAGAGTATATCACACGAATCTGCCGAATCGGGTTACGTCCTGCCAACCCTCGACATGGTTATAAAAACACCGCATCGTTTGTGTCTAACCAGTCCTCCGCCTTCTAGTGACTGTTAAACCATCGAGGACAGACATAAATATCTAGATCAGCTACTTGAAACTGCTATTATCCATCTGTTAAATCCAACACCTGACAGAGGTCGACACTATTTGTCCCTGAGGGAGGATGAGATATTCCCTAACTAGATAATTGTTTCCAAGGAATAGTTTCGTATCTGTTCACTTTGTTATCTTGTTTGAATTCAATATGCACGTTAGACACGTTGAATCTGTAATCTTTTTAGTGTACACTTTGGCACCGTCAACACAAGACTACACTTCATATCTGAAAATATTTTAGACTGCTTCAAGAACTACAAACACGTCATCACGTTGACGATGGGAATTATTTTCACTGGTTACACAAGTACATCCTAACATAGTATTATCAATCTTGGATGTGCCGAATGTGTTGTACAGAACTCTGATTTGGATCCTGTAAATTCTTTCTTGACGAACACCTGGCTTTCTCGAATTTGTTTGAGAGACCAGGTGTCCACATAAAGTATAAACTGCCTTGGTTACGATTTTCCCGGTCCCAAAGATTTCGACACAACCAGGTTCGACTGTATCTATGAAGTTTGTTTAGGAAATATGATAACATCGTATATGCTATTAGCTTCTTAAGATAAGTTACCAATGAAATTAAAAGTTAAACCATTCTATAATCTGGGTAATTCCCTTTGCTCGATTCTGAATATAAGATATGCATATCTTTATGAAGAATCACATTTAGTGAATGTGAAATGTCTGAATCACGAAGTTCATATCGAATAACAGCGGTGTTAACGTTGTTAACAAAGATATGATTGTATATAATTAGGTTAACTCCAATTCAATGAAATTATTTCTACAATACTACACTACATCACAGTATCTATTGTAACATGCGACAAAGCAAATATTCAGATAGAATACACTGACCTTAGACCATCATTTGGGTTCGTGATGACAAAAAACAATTGCCATCCTTGACTCCCCAAACCTATGCCGAGTTCCCCAAATAGAAACTCAACATGAATTAACAAGGGGATCACCTACCAACCGCCTCATACATTACCGTATTACGCAGAGTATCTTAAATCTAAGGGGGTCTGTATCACTGGCATTAACCCACGAATCAAAATCTTAGGGGGTATATATTACCCTTATCGTCTCCTAAGGGTTACTGTAAGGTAGACTACCCCAGCCTTGAAACGGGACCCTCCTGAAAAGGACCTTACAAGGCTATCATGTAGGTGGGCCTGGTAATTTATTTAAACGCTTTAAAGTATTCTGTAAAGGCGGAAAACTGAATTACTGGGAAGGTGAAATAAGAGCTTCTTATTTGGAAGTAATGTTGTACATTATGAAATTCTTGTCGTGTCTTGGGTAGTGTGGGTCTTTTAAAAGCAATAAATCAGTGCGTTTATACACAGAACAGATTGTCACTGCCAATTCAGTAATTAATGTAAAACATCTCATTCACCAAAAATAAAAAGACAATTTTAAAATCCAAACTTGGTTGTTAATTTGAAGATGGTGATGTGTAGATAAATACAATACCCTTATCCAGTGAGCACCTGATGTAAATTACGGAGTGGATACATTTGGTCTGACTGGTTCAGATTTAGATGTACTTACATTTCCACAGAGTCCTGGCCCAAAAAAGACAGGTGCCATATCCAAACTTAAAATCGCTCGTAATATCCAAGACCCCCAATATGAGATGACCTCTCTGTCGGAAAGACACACTCTTACTGACAAAGTTCTAGAATGTTAACTTGTTCATACCCAAAGGATACAGTTATCAACCCCATCACTTGTTAAGTAAACATGTACACAAAAACGCCTGGGGTGATCAGATTGGTCTGATAATGGGGACCGCCCACTGGTCAGAAAATGACCGTTCAACAAGAAAATGACCACTTCAAACAAGCTACCTGTGGATAAGCAAAATGAGTTCAAATCTCCGCTGTCTCTCATGGTTTGCATTTTGCGGGTGAAAGTGATGCCCTGTCCTTTCCTACTGATTTCTTTACAATAAAACACACCACTTTGGTGTAATTTGCTATATGATTAGGTCGATGGGCAATTTAACGGGCGGTTGTTATCTGTTCCAACTAAACTCGTCATTGGCTGAAGGGAGAAGCATGTCAAGAGAAATTTGTTTGATTTTGTTTCATCTACTGCAGATAGTGTATTTGTGTATTGTTTGTAAAGTAAATAATGAGACTGTTTTGAAGGTTTAGAAATATGAGTACAATAACTAATATCAAATTCCACTACATCCTGACTATTATAATACTGAACGGACTGCAAAGACATCACCATGGAATAGTTTGCCCTGTCATATCATACTGCTGAAACATTCATTTAAATACTTGCAAATGGTTAAATAGCAGTTTTACGCAAACTTGAAGGTATACAAATGATATTTAATTAATAACATTTTAGCCACACATTTTGCTTACAAGCTTCTAGACCTTTAAGAGAATGGAAACTGAAGCATATCTTATTGGTTTTGAAATTTGATCCCATTTTTACTTACATTTTAGAGTAAGATAATCTTGCTGTTTAATTCATATGTATGGTCTCTATAGAAGGGTCAATATCTTTTTAACTGAAATCAGCTTTAGGTCTAAATGTCTTTACAATTTGCAACTTAAAATGTTGCTTTCTTCATTACACTTGGACTTTCACATGAGGTAATTCATTCTTGACACTTAACGCATATGAATGTCTTCCACGGAATTGTGTTTTGTTCACGAGAATATATTTCCCATATTCTGTATTTGGTCAGTTACGATCAGGATAGAAAAGAAAACCAGAAGTTGATTCCAAACGAACCGCCTTATGTCCTCATGAAAACAACGATTATTCGAACTACTCTCTCTTCTAAAAAAATTATACAATATTAAGGAAAGAAGAATATATATATATAAATGCGTAATTTGTTTTGTAATTAAAGTCGATTTTTCAATTATGCCGATTTAACTGAAAAGATATGCTTGGTTCGAGACGTTGGCTCTGCTGCTTACTGTACAACAAACATTTATACGACAATCAATTATCTAGTAGTACCTTGCTGATTGAACTCCAAACAATATGCTTGGTCCGAGACACTGAATCTGCTGCTACTGTACAACAAACATTTATACGACAATCAATTATCTACATTGCTGACTGAACTCCAAACAATATGCTTGGTCCGAGACACTGAATCTGATTCCTATTGTATAACAAACACTTACATGACACTCTTTCCTGTACGCATTTTTATCATATAATTTGTTCGAAAAAAACGTAAGTACATAAACGTAAGTACATGTATACATGTATGAAAGGTACCGCATGACCCATTGTACACGTACGTACAAATGAATATTCATCATGCATATACATGTAAATGATGATGATCATCATACAAACATTAACATATCGAATCTATGAAAAATGTAAGAAAATGCTACCAACATACTTACTCAACAGATATCTAACCACGTTGGTAAAACAAACATTCCAACTCACACATTAACGACAGCCAACGTGACGATGCATTTTTTGCACCAGTGGTTATAATCGTCTATTACCCGCACCTCCTGTAAACCTAGCACGTTATCTGTCTTTCTCGCACAGCAACATGCGGATTACAATGTCCAAACCACTACCTCTACTGTTTCTGATAGGCCTTCGGTAAAACCCCAGTCTCTGTTATTATACTGAAAGGATTAGAGCCTAGTTTTGCCTTGATAGATGTTGTACACATAATTAGAGACCTT